AAGTGCGGATTCGAAAGAAACCATTTTCAAATGCAGCAGAAATTCGATGAACTTCCGTCCAACGGTGTTTTGGAATACGTTTGTCGTCAGTCTCCCCTAGTTTGTGGTCGGGAGTTCCTGGATGCTTTTTTACCCATCCTACCCAAAGAGGCTGAGTGTCTGACGGAATCTGAAGCAATATCTGTCATGGAATCAGACTTACTGCAACTTTTGAAAGATGAGGCTTTACTGTCAGAAATAAAACAGGACTGCAGGCAAGTTAGTTTTTGTTTTTTCGTTTATCTCCAGCCCAGTTAGATGTGTATTATTCTGGATTTTTAAACCTCAAATATGATTACTGTGGTCTCTTGAAGCGTTGTTTGGTTAGTATTGATTTTAGATTATACAAACGAACTGCTCGCGTGTGCACACATACACCTGTTATAACATTTGGTTAATTTAAACTCTTAGCCTTTTTATGTCAAAACCGACGCATCTTTTACTTATTCTAAGTTGTATAACTTCAGTCGGATAGGCGGTATCCATGTCAACTTCAGCGTGAATTTCGTTCAGACTGTTGATCATTTATTCATAATTACTTGCTCTAGTCTTTCTTCCGTATATAAATTATGTATCAAAAACTACAGAGCCCGTTGCCACAGACTTCGACGTGGGAAGTAGTCTTAGTCGGACATCTGTAATGCGTAACAGGAGGATGCAGACAAAGGGCTGACTGCACGCGGGTGACCAGTCAATCCTAGCTTATCAAAGTGCATGCCACAACTGTTCCTGTCAGTAAGCAAATCAGACAGCATGAAAACTCAGCCCGTGACTGATTGAGCAGAAACAAAGCCTTTAGACAGGCGACTCACTGTGCACTTCACTTCTCAGAATTTGGAGGAATGCTGCAACATCGACTTCGCGAGCATGCGGATAATGACACAGGCCTAAGATAATAGAGGGTGGGACCCGGTGAAGACCTGAGCGTCTGGCACCAACTCCATAGATATAAACTTATTATACTTCCTTCCCAACTATTATGCTATGCCTACGCGGCTAAGTGGCTCAGCTCATTTCCCAGCCAAGAACGCGCGACATCAAACTATGAGGCCTCTGGCGTGAACCCAGCCCAGTCAAGGACACTGCACTTCTCACCCTTCCTCTCATAATCATATACGAGTCCAAAAACCCAACTCAATACACCTGCCCATCGAATGATCGCACGCCCACCTTCGCAAAGATAAGCTCGTACTCGTATATTCTCCTGCATCTGTTACATCTTAGTCATTATTTCCTATTGACGTTCAACGGTTTGAGGTGGATTTCGATATCAGTGGAGCACCACCTCGACGAAAATTCACATTTATGAAAAGATTATTATGCCAGTTAGCCCTCTGCCTGCGCTCGATGGGACTTCTTCCTGAACGCTAAGTTGAGGATGTGCCCCCCTGGGACCTTGTCAGTGATTTCCTACAATGTAAACAACGGAATTGTTTATCTAACTCGGAAGAAAAAGCTGTCGTTTCCATTTAAACTGCTTTGAGAACGTCCTGAGTACAAAATTACAGGGACGTATCTCGGGACCAAATGGAACGCGCACTGTCGTGCCATTTTCGAGGCACACTTATCTTCACTGATGCGGTCGCGTCGTGAAGATTACTGAGTAATCGTTGCAACCACAGAGCATCTTTTGCAATTGACCTACGTCTTTCCTGCCTAACTGTTTACCTCCATAATCCATTGTTGTCCTCGATCTAGTGTTTTCATCCTGGCATGCATCTTACCGTACCACGAATTCTAATCCCATGGAATGTGAGAATATTAAGCATGAGGAGTGCATCGTCACCATATTAAATCGGGGCGAAGCCTGCATGGGTTTTTGAAGTTGTGTCCCGTGGTCGACTACAAAAAGGCTGGTTCCCTTAACATATAATAAGCCAACCAACGATAGATTATTTAAAAACAGCCAGTAAGCATATAATTCATCATATTGTAATCTCTTCAAAAATACAATGCTGCTCAGTGAATGGCCTTACTTCTCCTCACAGCTGGGAATTACGATTTGTATTTTGGTAGTCACACACGCTCGGATATGCATTCTGTCACTACTCACAGCTTTTACCCTTTTAATTTAGCATCCTCTCGCGTAGATTGCGACCTACCTTTAACGACTGCTCATGCCAAATTTGTTCCTCGGAGTTAGTCTATTTAAATGTTTTGTACTGGACTCTCTCCTAGTTTGGACAACCTCTACATCGAAGGCGAGCATCGTACCCTAGATGAGGTTCTGCAGGTCCTTCCTTCCCGTACACAACGCTCTGGTAGACTTCGCACCCTTGAAGCCTTACCCGAGTGTCTCGTGGACAAAATGTCCGGCATGCATGCTCTCAGTGTGCGGACTCGTCTTCATCGACCGCAAGTTGATCAGTCCTATCTAAATTCCCCTGATGGCTGCTTTGATTCTGGTAGACCGATCCAAGATGCCGTCTTCACCGTCTTCATTTACCGGCCTATGACGACTGTCACAGACTGCAGTAACAGCCCCTGGAAACTTATTGTAGATCAGCGGATCGAAATTCTCGGCTCCCAGTCCCTGAGTGCGCTTCGTGATGCAATCCGCTGTCCACAAGACATGATCTGGTTAGGTGACTGCAGTGAAGCTCTGGACAAACCGGAACTGCATATCCCCGCGCGTCTAGTCTACACTTCTGCCTACTTCTTCATTGAAAACATATTCTACGATGACCTTCGGGATCCCAAGTCAACTGCTCTAAGCGCGTAAGTTCGACATGCCTTCGTCTATAAACTTTTATTTTTTAGAAGTGTCATCGATTGGCATAACAATAAGGTGGGCGTGTCGGACAAGGACCATTTCACTGCAGCAAACACCGACACCCTGCTCGGTGACTTGAAGTTACATCTTGGTAAACCCTACCTTTATCTTCATCAGGGGAATTGTGAACACGTAATTATTTTCGCGGATATAAGGTAGGTGTTAGTTGTCAGGCTCCTGGAGCCATCAGTTTGGTTGTGTTCAGCATTTTTTGTCCTCAACTTTCACTTGCTTCCTCTCTCTTTAGGATGACCGATCGAACGTGTGCCCAGTCTGCCTCCAAATATCCCATCTGCACGGGCCGTTCGTTCACCTGTGTGTACAAGTGCACTGTCTGCAAGCACCTTGCAACACAATGGCTTGTCTATGATGCTGGAGAAATCCTGCCAAGGGACCCTGCCGCTCTGTGCGACGTATGCCTACGTCATCTGCTTTATACGGAAGACGGGAAGAAGATACATCCCAATTTCCGAGTACAGAAGTACTTTGGACACGAACTAGCCCGCTAGCTGTCCCCACACCGCGAGATATATTCATATCCTTATTTTTGTAATTTTTTTCTTAAATCAATAAATCATCTTCATAAAGGGCGCAGTATGCTCAAAGCGCGGAGTTCTGCTTCTAGTCGCATCCATTGTCTCATTCTATTGTTTGCATCAACTAGGTGAAATTATGGATGCTGAAGCGTTCGACGTCCTTCAGGAAATCTCTTCCATCTTAAATAC